TCACTTCAATAGTCAAAGAATTGCATTTATCTTCTTTCCTAAAAAAATACTATTCAAATGATATCTATATCATTTTTGCATCTTTGGAAACTCACTCAATTTTTTTCCTTTTTTTATTTTTTTTATTTTCATTTTGTTAAATGTTAGTAAGTCACTACAAAATGGACATTTTTTTTAACTTTGTTACTATAAAAGGTTCCAATATTACGATTTTGTATGTGTAAAGTTCCCTATATAAAGGCCTACATTCTTACTCAATTGGCACAACAACACTAAGTGCCTTTATTCTAACCCCTTTTTGCATCTATCTAGTTAATAAAATTTATTCATTCTCAAAATGTCTGGAGTAAACAAAGTCACAATTGTTGCCTTTGCTATGATGCTTTGCATCTTGCTTCAAACCAACATTTCAAAAGCAGATACATTTCTTGCTGGTGATGCTAATGGATGGGGTTTCCAGTTGAATGGTTGGCCTAATGGCAAGACTTTCAAGACTGGCGATGTTATTGGTATGAATTTATTAGTAAATTTACTATTCAAATAATGATGAAAAACTGTTATTAACGTATATGTACTTTTTTTCATGTTAACAAAAATACAGAGTTTAAGTACCCAGCCGGAGCGCACAATGTGGTGAAGGTGGACCAAGCAGGGTTTGACTCTTGTAATGGTGCTGGGGGACAAGCTTTCACTTCCGGAGACGATAAAATAACTCTCACACAAGGAACATCATATTTCATTTGTACTATCGGACCACACTGTGCTAATGGTGTCAAGGCCGCTGTTACAGCCAATTAATTTACTCCAATTCTATAGTCTTATTTTCATTCTAGTCAATTGTTGTAACTTTGGAGTACTAATAGTTATATAATATAATGTTTTATTTCTTTCGTCCATATAGATGTGTTTACTTGCCTACTTGAATGAAAAAACTAAGCATTATTATTTTGGGTAAAAATAAATTTTACTAATGAACATGTGAGTGGAATTTTCAATATCCTATAAATCTTATTGTTTTTATTTTTTAGAAGAGATTAAGTAATGTATTTCTTGAAACATAAAATGATAAGCGTCTTTTTTTATAATTTACTTAATTCAAATCGGTTAGATGTTCGAATTTGAATACGTCTTTAAATATTGAAATGCTATCTCTATATTTAAATATTAGATAATTAAAACTATTTGTTTTTAACCTTTGAATAACATAAATTTATTTCCAAACTATTAGTAACATAATAAAAAAGTGTTTTGAACACTGGCTTAGCCCTTGAGTAACAAAATCAACAAATTTGAATCTTTAGATTCTTGTGAAATCCTCTCTAACCTCAAATTTTAAAGACGAAAAATTAAGAAAGTAATTCAAATTTCAATTCGTTTATTTTCTCAATTTCTCAGTATTATAGTTAGGGTACAAAATCGAATAAAAAATCGAACGAAAGAATGCTGGTCCATTAGACTTCAATGAAGGAGGTGAGGTTAAGGCCCAGTTCTTGGCTTCCCTTTTCTAGGCCCAATGGGTATTTCTTAGTTATTTGCTTGGCCCAGTTCTGTATTCTTCTCTGGGCTTGAAGAATGCAAATTAGAGAGAAGTAATTTGGCCTTAACGGGTGTGTGTCGGATTCTCCAAATAGTGTATTTTGGAGAATCTGACCCGAGTGCAGCATTGAAAGTGAAGACTTCGCGTAATTTAGATTTTGCGGAGTATCCTATTTAGGGAAAAAATATACTAGTAAATAGGTAAAAATAATTTTAAAAATATTATGTATAGGGTTAGTTAATTATCAGCTATAACAAATCAACATATTTAATTCTATAGCAAGTTCTAATACATAAAGAATTAATTATATATTAAATTTTCATGTTTTTCATTTTTATATTGCCTACTTTTAAGGAGGCATACCGTTGATTTAATGGTATGAATAAATGATTTTAAAAATGAATGCTTGGATAAATATTCGTATTTTGATAATATAAACTTTTTACTTTTTCTCCCCAATACGCGATTCCACTCATTTATCATTAGAGTTTAACTAAAATTTATCAAAACTTTAAGTATTACAATAACCAAATTAGTCATCACTAGCTACTAAAATACTACTTCATGTTAATTAAAAGTTCAAATATGATTCAATCATTTGTTACTTCTTACATATTTTTTTTCCCTCTTCTCAGATGCAGATGATTTAAAAAAAGAAAGAGAGACAAACAAATCAAAAACGATAGAAAGAAAACAATATTTATTTAATCAATTAGCAGTAATTGCAATTTTTTGGGCACCATCACAATGACCAGGAACACCACAAATAAAATAGGTTGTGCCCTTTTTAAGAGTTATCACATCTTTCCCTGAATTAAACATTTTTCCTAAAGGGTTACAATTATTGTAATCCACCTTGTTCACTATAACCACATTGTGAATTTCTCTAGGATAATTGAATACTGCAAAATAAAATAAAATAAAGTTATGAAAGTCGCAAAGTATTAAATACTAAATAAATTCCTTTAAAATATGCATTTAAACAAAAAAATGAATAAAGGGCATAATAATGATATACTAGTAATTTCATACCAAGCACATCACCAACTTTGAAATTCTTGCCATTAGGCCAATTGCTAACACCAAATGTCCAACCATTACTATCTCCAACATTATAAGTTGTTGATGCATTACTTATTTGGATGGCAAACAACATCATGAATATTACCAAAAAAATAGCACATCCTTCTAATTTCCATGCCATTTTTTCCACTTCTCTAAATGAAAATTTGTCTAATTTAAAGGTTTTTGGAATTTTATAAGGTGTTAATTGTATAGACTTGAACTTAGATGAATGCTTTTAGTTACAACCTTTTATAGTGGTACTAGCTAGACTACTTAATTAATGCTAATGTATATTTTTCTAGATTTTGATGATATTAGTGTTGGTCATTTGATGTTAATTTTATGAAATTTAACTCTTGTAAAGTTATTTGACTGAATACAAATTTTTATTAAGAATAAATAAAAGACCTTTAAAATTTATGGTCAAATAGAATTTAAAGATTTTATGGACTTATAAATCATCTCATTAAGAGTAGATGAAAAGTTTAAAATTAAATTATTTACCAAATATGAATAATATCATTATTTTTTCGAAGGACTAAAAAGGAAAAAATGTTACAGGAAACTGAAAAAGTATATTCTTTAGTGAAAATTGAAAATGATTATCAAGACGATTGCACCCCTGAAAAAGTATTTTATCGTTCTAATTTCTAGATATGGACGATTTATAGATTGGAATTCACTAAATTGTTTACATGAAGTTAAATCTTGACAAAAAGTATTTATATTCGGCTATATAACGGCTATTTTTTTTTAGGTGACGGCTATTTTATGTCAATTTCAAAAAATATTTCCAGTTAATTGCTGTATCCCAATTACTACCATATTCTCGACTTTCCTACTTTTAGGACCAATGGGCCATTTTCTAGTTATTCTTTAGGCTCAGTTCTGTATTCCTCAATGGGCTTGAAGATCACAAATTACAGATCTCCCTTTGCACAATTCAGCTGGAAAATGTTTTTTTTTTTTTAAAAAAATAAAATAAAATCTCATCAGACTTCGGATACATGTATTTGACGCATCAATACACGTTCATATACATGTATCTTGAATACATGAGATCAAAATTAGGTGTGAATTCACATGTATCTGGGATGCATATATTAAATTTATTTGACTTGAACTTTGATACGGAATTATTAATTAGTGAGACAATATGTAATTATTTCAAACTATCGAAAGAAAGAACCGAAGAATTAGAAATATGATAAAGAATGTTTGCCTTATTAAGTAGTTTTTCTTTTGATAGATATATGTATATATAATGTGGAATTAATGTTGAACTATTCGAGGCATTTGGCCAAAATATTATAATTATCATTTTTCATCAGTTCATCGCTTAACTTAAAGTTTCCGATAGTTTTTTCGAATATTTTCTTAATAGTAGCGCCACTAGCGAGATAAATGTCTTACCTTCCTTTTTAAAAAATAAAATAAAATATCTATTACCTTCCATAAGTACAAATATCGAATAACTTTGTCTATGAAAAATATCCAATATAGAAGTAGCAAAAAGTTCATATTAATCCATTATTTGTCATATTATATAGTAGTAGTACTAGTACACCAACATAGGTGACACATGATAGAAAGTTTAAAGACTTTATAGGAACAGTAGGATAATTGATTTGGTAGTTTCACATAGCAAAGACAGAAATCTTCATTCCAGATTCACAATGACCAGCATAATTGCAGATGAAATAGTTCTGTCCCTTTACTAGCTTTACTTTGTCACCCCCTTTGCTGTACACTTTTGCACCTCTTGGTGTGCTGCACTTGTTATAACCATCTTTATTCACCGCCACCACATTGTGCGCACCATTAGGGTAGTTGAATGCTGCGGTAGCGTATTCAGAATTTTTTATAATTTTTTTAAAAGGAGATAATATACTATAGTAGTACTATTTTGCAGTGAAATAATTGTGGGTGACAAACAAATATTGTACAAAATCAGAATTGGTTGGAACATAAATGCGTTACATGTAATCATAAAACATGTCTCTCAATGGACCACATATTGGTAGGTGTAATTATCATTAACGGCAATATAACATTAAGAATCATTGTCATTATAACACAAGTGGGAAAGTGATTTTTTTAGGTTTAAAAGTGGTAGTAGAACAACTATTTGTCCCTAATTACTTGTTCAATTTTTTTAGTTGTTCCTAATTACTTGTCCATTTGACAAATCAAGAAAGGACAAATTGTTCCCCTATTATACCATCAATTAATTAATTTGAAAAATATAGTACTTTTTGAAAATCTTAAATTTTTAATTCATCCAATTCATAATTAATTGGATTAAAATGGTAAACTCACTATATCAATAATTATTATCTTAACAGATGTGTCAATTCAAAAGTGGATAAGTAATTAGAGACAGAGGATAATATCTTTAAATTAAATCTATATTGTCGGTAACTCATTTTAATTTGATGGTGCAAAAGAAAAAAAATATAATTCCTCCATCCAACAACAGTCAGAAACAATAAATAACAAGAGCAACAGCCAATATTATTATATTATTTTTTTGAACATATTAAATTTAATGTTTTAGTAAATGTTAAATAATATTTAATATCAAGGATGAAATAAGTACAAATTTCTTGATTTTTTAAACTAGACAAATATTATTAAATACTCCCTCCATCTCATTTTATGTGAGGTAGTTTGATTCGACACAAAGTTTAAAAAGAAAAGGAAATTTTTTAAAACTTGTGGTTCAAAATGAATGATAGAAATTTGTATGGCTGTAAATCATTTCATTAAGGGTAAAATAAATATTTTATAGTTAAATTGTTACTTAATATAAAAATGTGTCATTCTTTTTGGAACTGACTAAAAAGAGAAGTAAGTCACATAAATTGAGACAAAAAAATAACTATTTTTAATATAATGAACAAGTAAAAATGAACAAATGAAATACTTCTCTAGTTCTCTTTGAGTTACCCTCAAGAGTCAAGAGGGTCAAAATTAAACTAAAAATAATAAAACAGGGTCCCATGAAACAAAAAATTTGGCAGTCCTTTGAAAAGTTTTAGGATAACAAAATTAAAAACCAGTCAACATTATGGGACCTTAGAAAAGAAAACAAAGCACTTATTTTTGTGTGTGTGTGTGTGTGGGGGGGGGGGGGGGGGAGGGGGGGGGGGGGGCGGGGGAGTATTAAATTTTTGTGGAACATTTAACATTTTAATGCTTAGCCCGAATATTTGAAGCGTGAACAAAATAATTAGGAACATATTCTACTTAAATAAATTTGAATTTGTTATTGTACTATTTTATATGATCCAATTGATATATTTATGGAACTCAAATATAGTATTTGTGCTTATTTAGTACTCCCTCCGTTTCACAAAGAATTGTCTAGTTTGATTTGACACAAAGTTTAAAAAAATAAAGAAGACTTTTGAATCTTGTGGTCCTAAATTAAAGTTATGTCAAATGTACAAAACTGTCATTTATTCTTGTGGTCCTAAAGATGACACGTGAAAAGCTGAAATTAAAATATTACCAGAAAAAGAAATAAGTCATTCTTTTTTAAACAGACTAAAAAAGAAAGGAAATCATTCTTTTTGAAACGGAGAGAGCAATTTTTTCAATACATATGCCCACAAGTAAGGGATCCATAGAAAAGTTAACTCATGAAGTGAGACGATATCGAAGAATCATACTTACTAAGAATATCACCAGCCCTAAAGCGTTTGCCCTTAGGCCAACCAACAGTGTTAAAAGTCCAGCCACCAGAATCACCAACTTTGTACTCAACAGCATGAGCCATCTCAGTTTGAATGAGCACCACAATACATAACACAAACACCATTTTCATGTTCATTTCCATTGCACTGCTTCTTCCCTGACTAAATTAATTAATTAAAACAACTCTATAGATATAATTATTAATGAGTTGTGTGGATATATTAGTTGTGCAAGTATAACTCCCATTTTATAGAGAAAAATATGATGGTTTGTGGTCCTTGAATTCTTTAATTTACTGTTTTGGGTCAAGCAGTATGTAGTGTAGGTCCACAATATTCCACTCCCGATAAAAAAAGATTAAAGCATGTCGGTGCAAAGATGAAGTTTGAATTTCATTTTTTTTTTATGAATTCTAAATTTTATAGTGATAATAATTGAGTTCTAATGTAATATTTACACGTTAGGTTCGTCCGAACTCGCATAATCGATGATCATCTATAGGATCTCCCCCCCTTCAAAATCGGACGTGAAAGTTTCCTTTCATCCGGCTCAAGTAGGTACACCAAATAAGGAAAGGAGTTTTGTTTCATTGGATTCAGATATTTCTTTGAATCTAAATAATACAATTGGATTTACTTTTGAAAGTTCTTTTTTTATTTTTTTTATAAATCCAATGGTTTTTTATGTACCATATATATTTACATAATCAGATCAATATTAAGTATCTTTCTTATAATAAAACATTAATTGATAACTCCTTCGATCCGTCCCCATTTTTGCAAAGGTGTTACTTCCATTTGATTTATACTCCATTTCGTTTAATTTTTAAATATGTAAATTTTATTTAAATATTTTATATACACAAAAGTTTTTATAAGTTAGAAAAATAAGAAAGCAAGAGATGAATTAGTGGAGAGACAATCTACGTATTGTACGTATATCATTGAAAATAAGGCATTCAATTTTCAATGCTGACTACCAACCCACTATTTTAAAAATTGTACGTGAACATTATTTGTCAAGAAAGAGGGGCAATTAAATAGTTAAAATTAGTAAAAGGTCAAAAAAAATTGCAGATTTGCAGGATTATTTTAATTTTATGTACTTTTTATGTCTCAGTGGATTTGGCTACTAGAGAAAGTGGGAGTAGGAGGGGAAATTTAGAAAAAGAAATGACAAGTTACCATTACTTTGCTCTTACTTTATTTGATATATCACTTGTGAGTGATTTTATCATATTTTTAAATGCTTAACTAGATATTGTGAGGATAAGTATAAATTATCTCTAGCTTTAATAATAAGATATTTTGAATTCGAGCTATGAAAATAAAATTATCTTTGGTGAAGAATGTTTTGCTTTAAAGTGAAAGTTCCTGCTAGAACGGTTTGATTGAATCTCAAAAGAATACCGAATGACACGTGGCAAGAGAAAAAAAGAGA